CTGTGACCACACCTGCAGTGCTCACTAACAATGCACTGCATCAGTCGGGAGTGTCACTGTGGTCACACCTGCAGTGCTCACTAACAATGCACTGCATCAGTCGGGAGTGTCACTGTGGTCACACCTGCAGTGCTCACTAACAATGCACTGCATCAGTCAGGAGTGTCACTGTGACCACACCTGCAGTGCTCACTAACAATGCACTGCATCAGTCGGGAGTGTCACTGTGGTCACACCTGCAGTGCTCACTAACAATGTACCACACAGAGCTATAAGAAGCAGTCAGGTTTAAAGAACCAGAGTTGAAGTCTAATGTTACTCATTAACCACTGCATCATGGAGCAGGCAGAGGCGCAGGGACAGAGAAGGAGGAGACGCACAGATGACCACAGGTGTCATAACAAACACAGAGATGAGCAAGGGGCCTGCCTCAATGGACAAATGCAGGACATCTACTGACGCTTCAGGCGGCGTCACACGGGCTCGACTCATCAGGTCCCAGAGTATAATGAACGAAGGTAGAAATGGCAGGTTTTACTTTGTGTGTGCACGGTGGGGATGAAGGTCTCTTGTCACCCTCATTTGTGCCACAGATACTTTTAGAGCTTTGTCCTTTTCCCATTCCCAGCCCAGTGCGTGCAGAATCACACATTGCCCTATCACTGGTTCGTACACTTTATAAAACATCATTACCGTGTCTGCAACTCATCCTACCCCAGACAGGATCTTGCTCTATTACCCAGAATGCTTTAAACTCCTAGGTTCAAATGGTTCTCCTGCTGTAGTCATAATTATAAGTCATGGGGCCTGCAAACATGCACCATGGCCCCAGACACCCTTCATCAATGGTAAAATCTATTGTCAGAGGACTTTCAACACATCTTTGCCATTTTAGTAGGAAAATGTTCTGCAACATATTACATTTAAAAGATGTATAAACCTTAAACATTAAAACATAACCTTTTCTTCATATTATGGGGCTTTCAGAAGTTGCTTGTTATTAGCATCTAATTCAAATATGATGTATCAAGAACAACATAAAGAAATCAGTGCTAGCTTTGTAGTACTGTAGTTTGAGTGGCCAGAATTGTATTCCTGAATAAAGTGAAACTATAGGGGTAGAAAAGGGGGGAGGAAGAAGGAGAGGAGGAGGGAAAGAAAGGGGGAGGGAAAGAGAGGGGGAGGGAGGGAGAGAGGTACGAAGTGGGGAGGGAAGGAAATCCATACACAGCTTACCATTTTTTTGACTTCAGCCTGGGAGGAGGGTTTCTGGGGATGAGAAACAGCGCTCTCATTGGATGCATGTCACAGAGAGCTGGGAAAGAAGATGGCTCTGTCAGTAAGGCACACATTTACTCTCTCTGACCTCTGGGGTTCATGTACAAGTAACTTCATTCACAAATAATTGCCATGAATGTCAAGCAGCTGAGAAATCTAGTTACAAACTCTAGGCCATACCTTGAATTTAAATTTTTAAAATAGTAATTTAAAAATAGTAAAATATAAGAAGATCAAAAATATACAACTTCAAATCAACACTGGAAAGTTTTCATAAATCAAAGATATATATTAATTCAAACTTTAAAAAAATTTAAGTTTTTAAATAACCTTTAAGATTATAATGAAAACAGCTGTTTTTATAAGGATCTAAGGATCAGAACAGCTTTGTAAAGGTCTTTAGCGTTTTAACAGTAGAAATGCCTAAACATAGCTCATGGTTTCAAACGGAACCAATGCTTAAATGCAGCGCACATTCAGAGCCTCAACCAGATTCAATGCTAAACACAGTGCTCACATCCAGAGTCCCCATGCCCTGTTGTCTGGTACTCCAGCTCCTTCAGGAGGAAAGAGGAAAGGTGATGTAAATGGAGGTGCTGACCTCTGTGCACTTACTGTGAAAGGTGAGTTCAGCAGACACACACACTGGTATCTCACAGCAGATGAGGCACATGCTGGGGGGACACTTGTAAGGCAGCTGGGAATGGGGACTAGACTAGCAGACACCAGTATCCCAGTGTGAAGGGAAACGGAGACAAATGACCCAGCAATATGCCCCACCAGTCTCAACACCATATAAGGAAACACGCGGGCACAATACTCTCAGTGGATACCCGCTTCTGCACGGTAACTGATTCTTAACTCTCAGTATCGTTCCGCTCATTCAGCAAATACTTATTCACAACTCTGTGCCGGCGGCATGTGGTGTCTGGACACACCTTTCCTAGCAGGCCAAGAGAAATGCTGAGCATGTTTTCTTTCCTTACTTTTTTCCTACATTTCTATCACAGCCTTAATCAAAGATCAATTTTATAATTGATCAACTTACTGAATTAACCCAAGGAAAAGCAAACTCAAACCTTCACAGAAAATTCCATAAATAAAAGTTAATTTCTCAATTTGTAAATTCAAAATAAGAAAAGATGAGGGACCCATTTCAATCAATATTCTTTAAATGTAAAGAAAAAAATAGTTCTTATTAATTTCAGACGCTGCATATGAATCTGCTAGAGACCTAGAGAGCTCCAAAAGGAATATTGGCGACCAGGAGCTCCCTGTACATCTGTGGCCACCCTTGATGATGAGTCCTTCATCCAATCACTCAGCCATGCCTGGTTCTGGCCCAGTGTCCTTGGGCTCTCACAGGTAATCAGTTTATACAGAACAAATGAGCTCAAAGGGAAGGGCGATACTCACGAGGGGCCCCTTCTGCCATCTCAATGGCCGTGATCCCACAAGACCAGAGGTCACTCTGCAAAAACAGAAGGGAATGTTCCAGATGCCTACTTTATTTCTAGACAGTCACACAAATGAGATACAAGCATCCTTCAGGTAAAAAAAACAAAAACAAGTCTTGCTGAGAAGTTATTACCTTTCTAGCCCTAAGGATTATTTTTATTTACTTATGCATGATACTATGTTGATAATATAGAAAAGTTCTTCAATTTTTATGTATGTATTAAGGAGTAGAAAAATCAAAGTCTGAAATACATATTTAAATAATTCAAATTAAAGGAAAATCCCAGTGTAGCAATGGTTTAAATTAATCCTCATTAATTGGATATTGGCAACAAATACTGAAATACATGGGTAACAGCTAAAATATGAACTCAATTTTAACACCATTAACAGGTACAACAAACACTAAAGCAAAAGCTTTGGGTTTACTGACAAATAAAACAGCACAGTCAAGCTGATTCAGATAATTAAATATGGGTTTTATGCCTGGATAAAAAGGTGTACTATGGTCTCAGGTCCCTAGAGGTCACTGTAGAATCACTTCAATTTATTTGTCTAAGAGAAGTCATAAAACTCTTTACACAAAAATGCCCAGCGACGGCCGTAATGGCTGGGGCCTCTTACTCTGTAGTCGTAAGTGGCATCTGGGTTCTCATCGCAGGCAATGACCTCCGGAGCCATCCAGTAGGGTGTGCCTATGAACGTATTTCTCCGTCCAACCGTCCGGTCCAGCTGAGCGCTTACACCAAAATCAACTATGGAACAAAGAGCAAGAAAAAGTAGAGCACAATTAACAAAGAAGAAGAAGAAGAAAGTCTACGAGGAGCTGCCACAGTAAACACAAGCAGCGTGGCTCTGTCCGCTGCAGGGCTGGATGGCTAACACACCGCACTGCGCTAAACAAAGAGACTCACAAATGCAGAGTGGGCAGTGAGATGGCTCAGCAGATGAGGAACTTAAGAGGAACTCACTATACAACCTGAGGACCTGAGGTCAGTCCCTAGAGCGTACGTGAAGATGAGAGCAAAGATCAGACTTCACAGTTGTTCTCTGACTTCTATTATGTGTTCTAGATACACACACACACACACACACACACACACACACCAAAACAAATACATTCACAATAAACATTCTCCAGAATAGCTGGGATGTGAGTTGCCCTTTCAGAGCAACTTCTACTTTCCATGAATTTAATGATGATGGTTGGCTAGAAGAAAGTCATGGATGGAGGGAGGCAGGGTCAGCAGAAAGCACACACTGGATCTTTGCCCATCAGTATATGCCACTATCATCACAGACCACAGGAGAGCACGCAGCTCACACAAGCGGGTCTACAAACTGCTAGACAGTTGGCAGGGGTCACACTTTCCACCTGCGTCCAGAAGAAGCTCAGGAAACAGTTGATTTACTTGTCAATTGTTCCTCAGCACACAGAGGACAAAGCCGGGACAAAAAGCCTAACTAAGCTTTCCAGAACCATGGCCAGAAAAGATTGAGGGTATCATCGCATGAGGTCAGGGCATGGAAACAAAGGAGCCAGGACAGCAGGAGTGTCCCAGGTTAGCCCCGAGGAGACTTTCCTAATGGGCAGAGCACCTGCAGATAACCAGGTAGCAGAGGCACTGCAGAAAACAGCAGTGATCTTTAATAGAAATTAGTGCTGATTGCGTTTAAAATGTAAGAGCATAAAAATAAAATGGGGACAAGTTCAGGTGTAGCTTAGGGAGACAGGGGATGTGTCTCAGTCATTAGAAAGCCATCTGCAGGAAAAGCCACTCGTGAAGGCATTCACTGACTACCCACACCAACACTGAAGATGATGCCCAGACACCATATGAAAATATGCCAGGGACTAAAGCAATCCTGGCTGCTGTGCTCCCAGAATATTCTGGTAAAAGGGACTATTCTCTTCTATTTGAGAAATGCCATATGACATCAATTATAAATTTTATAAATTATCAACAGCACTGTAGGAGGGAGGCAGGGATCCAAGACAGATCAGAGGGCCAAAGAAAAATGAGGACATGAACTCCCAGTGGAGAACAGGATGTGCAAAGGTCTGGTCTAAGAAGTAACACCAAACAACATTATGTCAGCGAGTACCTGAAAACAACCGGCTTACTTTTTATGACTTTATTCTTTATTCTATCACTAAACATTAACTTCATATAATTGCCATGTTGTAACACTGGGTGGAAGTGATGAGCTCAGATGATGGGGCAGCAGAGGTGCAGCCATCGGATCCCACACTTCTTATAAGGCAAAGCAGGAAGTCTGAATCTTCTTGAAATAGAAGGGTAAGTCAGTGGAGGTGTCTGTCTCTCTGTCTCTGTCTCTCTGTGTGCCTGTCTCTGTGTGCCTGTCTCTGTGTGCCTGTCTCTTTCTCCATACTCCTCCCTATCTCTCTTACTCTTCCCTCCTCTTCCTCATCTCCCACCCCCCTAACTTCATACCCCAGGCTGGCTTTAAACTCACAGTTTTTTTCCTTCAGCCTCCAATGTCCTAGCAGTACACTATGTTAGGCACCACTAAGGTTAGTGTTTACATAAGAAAGCCTGAATTTTAAGTCAGTGTACGGCAGAAAGTGTGCCTCAGTCATGAGTTCCTGAGTGTGCCCCCCTCCACCCCAAGTTAAAACAAAACCTTTTAAAACTCCGTTTAGCTGCTGTATCTGGACAGTGTAGACTATAGAAGCATGGGACAGGGGAGGTTGCGGCTAGCTAAGCAATAAGCCAGTCCTCTTGTCGTTCAGGGGAGAGGAAAACGCAAACGTTAACAGGATGAACTCTTAGCTAAATGTTACGGGGCACAGCAAGCTGCCCGCCAGTACCAGGACAGTGCATCAGGCCACGCACACATCGGCCACGTACCGAGTTTCACTTCTGCATTCTCAGTCAGCAGCACATTCTGGCCCTTGATATCTCGGTGAATAACGTGGTGAATATGGAGATGTGCCAATCCCTGAAAAGAAAAGCAGATCTGAGTCTCAGTTCTCTGTCCCTGTAAATAGACAGCCAGGAGCATCCTTTTATAATAAGGTGCACACGTGGGCCAAGTTTTTGTAAATCCAGATTTAGAACATAAAATTTACCCTTGGCGCATTCCCAGGAAGGCACCGTCAGCCTTGCCACACATACAGGGAGCAGTGAGCTGGGCTTTCCCTCTGGGAAGATTGTAACCACGTTAAGCTGCGCCTGTGACACAGCTTTAGATTGCCATCTGTGGGTTGTCTGCTATAATTTGTGCTATTTGTGTTCAGGACGGCTCCTTTCCCACACCAAATGTCTATCTTTCAGTGGGTAACCCTGTGAACTTATTTAAGCTAGACTCATCCCAGAGGAACAGCAGAGATTTAGAGAGGGCCTTAAAATTTGGCTCTTAAAATGCAGGCTTGTCTTCCCACTACAGAGGAACAAACTGTTAAGTGCTGATATATCTCGCTTCTGACCAAGTATAAAATAATTCTGTCACCAGAACAGCCTCGTGTATAAATAAAATGTCTTTCTTCCTAGGCAAACAAGCACTTCTGGCACATGCACTTTTGATGCCCTGCCCTGTATCTAGAATGAGGCCAGCAGCATCTTCCAAGAGATGGTGGGAAACACACATTGACCTGTGATGTAAACACAGCAACGCACCACTGGACAACTCACCAGCTGTGACTTAACGCGGCGATGCAGCCCACTGCACAACTCATTCACCTTTCCCCCCTGACCAGAGAAGCTACACTCCAGAACGTATCTTAGGACACAGTAACCCGTTTATTCTGAAGTGCCTCCCGCAGCACTGAAAGGGTAGGGTTCTTGTAAGGGGTTTGGTTTTTCTATTAAAATAAATAAATAAGGGGCAGGGGCTGTGGTGCTAGAGGCTGGTGGAGTCTTGTGGCACAGCCTGGCTGTAAACTTGAAAGCCTCCTGCCTCAGGTGCCAGAGCGCTGGGCTCATAGGCCTATGCTCTCAAGCCTAACATCTACGAATTAGCAACAATTGCTCTAGATGACTTCTTTTTGAAGCACAGTGGGTTCCGAATTCACTTACTAACGTGTCAGTTAAACAGAAGACAGATTATGTGATACCTGTCTATTCTTCATCATACCGGGTGCAGCGTCATACCATAAGACTGCATGTGTAACATCAAGCGCTCAAAGAGCAAACTGAAGCCACTGGGTTCTTACAGAACCTCTACTTCTACCACTTCAGTTCACTTCTGTTTTCTAACTTGCATGAACTTCCTCTTTACCCTTTGTCATCTTCTGACAACCGAGCAGCCCTGTCTTCTCACAGTTCTGGCTTATGTGCAATCTGCACCCTTCCAGCAGTAAGTGTGTGAAGTCATGCCCAAGTCTCAGTCCATACTGTGTATGGATTGCTGCTGCTTCCACTCAGGGAATAGATCAGAACACAGCCACCTTAGACCAGACAAACGAGCAAGAATGAACACATTCCCTTATGTGCAGTAAGTCCCTTGGGGTCCAGCACGGAACTAAGACCATAATCATTCCTCCTGGATATAGATGCCAAGTCCACATGGACTGACTCAGGAGACAGCCTGGTCTAAGTCAACTGGAAATGGTTTTCTTCTCAGCTTATCTTCCTTGACTTATGTGACAAAAGAGCTGTCAAACTGCCCCTCAACGCTGGCGATGTAAAGTCCTGACTTCTCATCTTCGGCACAAAACAGTGCTTTCTACCTCAAGGAGAAAATTGGCTCAGAATGTGCATGAGGAAATAGGCAGAAAAGACAGAGGGGCTTTGCCAGTGAGCCCTGTATCCCTCACGGTTCAGCAGACTAGCCCAAAAGAGTACTTGAGGCAGTGGTGGTCTGTATACTTAGAACCCTTGCCTAGAGGGATGAGAAGAAGCTTTTCCATATAGAAGGTAGCCACCTCCAGCAACGTCTGAGGACCTGAAAGACTTACTGGGTTCACTTGCTTTCTCTATCAACATCAACACATAGCAACTCCTAAGATAAACATCAGCACAAAGCCCGGGTGTTTCTTTGTTTTGAATTAAAACTCTGCCACAGAAAATTTTTACTGTAGACAGCTCATGGGTGGAGAAGGTGGTCACTAAGAAGGAAACAATCTGCAGCATATCAAAAATATGCCATTTGCCACCACGATGACTAGAGCTATGAGCAACTCAGGTTTCTCTTCAGTGTTCCTGAAGTCAATGGTAAAATAAACACTTTACACTTGACAGGTAACCTGTTCTCCCCAGCTTTATGGAAACAGGCAATCATCTTTGATATCTAAGATACATCCTATGTCTAGAAAATTATGCTGAAAGCACAAATTTCTTGTAGCTACCTGGAGTGGTGCTCTACCCTGAAACTGCAGCACACAAGAAGCCAAAGCAAAAGCCCACAAGTCTAAAACTACTACCTACAAAAAGGTATGTCTACTTTTAAACAGAGAATGGCCATCTGCTAACCTCCTCGAACCCATGCCTCGGCAGCTCTGGGACTCAGCCTTTCCTTGCTGCTGAACCCCGCTGAACCCTGACTGTCATCCCTGAACCCTGCTGAACTCTGCCTGTCATCCCTGAGCCCTGCTGAACTCTGCCTGTCATCCCTGAGCCCTTAGAACAGCAGCTTCTCCCTGTTAGGTCCAACTCTCTCCATAAAAGGCAGGCACCTGATACTTTGAGGACATGCGTGAGGGATTATGGGTTCTCCTACCATCAGACTCCCTACCTCACACCCATCTTTTGATGGAACCTGTCTTGAAGGCTCCATAAAATATATAAGCAAAGAGACATGAAAACATTTCTGTAGGAATTCTAGTTGGCAATTTTTAAACTCACAGTATTCCATGAATCTTAAATATAAAAAGTAAATTTAGTTACAATAAAAAAAAAAGAAGACTAACTCGTTACTAGACTTTGATTAGTAAGCAAATAAGAAATAAAATTTTAGTTTGAGTCTAAGTCTTTATTTCTAAAACATGGAAGGACAAGTCACCTAGCAATCAGTTTAAGTATGCAGCTTGGGGAAGGGGACAGAAGGGCTGTGGCAGTGGAACTCACTGTAGCAACTCACACAACTCCCAAATGTGAGGCTCTGAAAACCCCCTGAGCTGTCAGAATGGCCTCATGCCTGGAAGAACGCATTTAGTGGCTAAAACAAGGCAGTTCAGAAACTTGCTCTGAGCTCGTTAGCCAGCTCTGCAATCAGCTGTAAATGGCTAAAGCCAAACCCAAAGGTCTGGAAACCAGCACTCAGTACTGTGCGCACTGCTCTGCCGCCTCTGCAGAGCTACCCCAGACACAGCAGTGCAGGCTCAGTCCGCATAGGAGGTACTGCTGGGCACTATAACAGCCACAGACTCAGAGCTTCAGCTGCCCTGAGGGACTGGAGACTGGATACAGGAGCATCCCAACCTATTCCACATAAAACATGACATCTGCACATGAGCCACACAGGTCCTCCCTCGTGAGGTCACATCCATAGATCTAGGACAGTATGGCTGCTATAACACATGCTTTATGAAGTAACAGCAAGGGGGAGGCTGTACATTCTATACACAGAATTTGTTTCAAATGGTCTCCAAACCACACAGGCCAACATCTTGGGTCTTCAGAGTTGAAAGTATCAAACTATGATGTAGACTAAACTACTAACAATGTATAGGGAATGTGTGGCTATCAGAAGAGATGATTATCTGTATATATAGAGAGAAAACGTAAGACAAGCTAAGGACTGCACTCCAAACGGAAGCATAAGATCAGAGCACAGCACAGGTCGCGGCTGCTTTCCTTACCCTGAGGATTTCCCTGGAGATGTAAGCAATCCAGTCTTCTTTGAGTGTGTTCCCTTTGGTGTTCTTCACAAGGTCTGTGATGGACCCAGCCCCACAAAACTCCATAACAAGCTACAAGGCAGACAAGACATGTTATAACAACCACATCCCAGGACTGAGCATGTATCCAAGCTAGGTCACACAACCCTGTTACAAGCCACCTGGGCACATGCAAGATCATGTTGGAAGCATCCAAGTAACGACAGTTTGCTTTATGAAAGTGTATTCCCTGAGGCCGTGTTGTCCTGTTCTGTGGCACCTGCCTGGGTGGCAATTCTGATGTGTTTCTTCCCTCCCTCTCAAGGCAATCATTTTGGTGGTCATCACTACCAAATTATTAGAAATCCGTATTCCAGAAATTCTTCCTGAAGATGTGCTGTTTTCATACACTATGGTCTTGAAATCATTTCATAACATTTCCCATTAACTGAGTCTAAGTCAAAAGGGAAATGATACTTTTAAACCACTACATAGCTTTGATGATATGTACCTGTAATATCTACATACGATAACTACAGTTGAAGACTTCCTAGAAAATGAACTGAACTGTTCCAAACTTCAATTAGGACTGGAGTTAAGCAACAGAAATAGGAGTAACTGTCTCGTTTCTATCTCTGCAGTCCCTGTGTCCCCCACCTCCCTCCATTCTCTTTCTCCTTCCCTCTTCCCTCTCTCTAGCTTGTGTGTCTGTGTGTTTGCTGGAATGAGAGCGAGGCCCAGGGGCTCCTGTGACTGTCCTCTGCTGCTGGTGCTGTCTAACAAGGTCAGGTAATGTTTAGGAAGTAGAGTCTTGGTGGAGGAAATGTGTCACTGCTGTCAGGTGCTAGCTGGCGCTGGCAGGCCCCACTTCCTGTCTGCTGTGCTTCAGGACTGTTTACATTGTGTGAGGAGCCAGCCTCACACTCCTGGTGGCCATGACTCCTATCTGAGGGGCTCTGCCATGTAAGTCAGAATAAACCTTCTCCTCTCAGTTGCTTCTGTCAGTGTTTGAACACAGTAACGGGAACTAAGCTAACTCAGTCTGTGTGTGCTAAGACTGAGCTCCAGCACATTCTCATCTGAGGTTTTATTTATTTGACAGTGCACATGTATACACACATGTATGTGAAGGAAAGAGGACCACCTCAGGTCTCATTCCTCAGGTACTCTCCACTTTCTTTCTGGTTTTTTTTCCCCTCTTTTTTTTGGTTTGATTGTTTTTGTTTTTTGACAATCTCTGTGTGTAATTTTATGTATCATTAAGGAGTTCTAGGACCCAAAAATATAAAACAAACAAACAAACAAACATAATTATAGTATGGATATACATACTGCATTTTCTATTTCTCTGCCCACAGGTATGCTAGCAGTCTGGCTGCATAATGTGGCCTCTGATGTATCACTCTGGAGTCCTTCAGGTACCTAACGTGGCATAGCTAGATCATATGGTATCTCTACTTTTAGGTTTTTTTTAAGGAACCTTCACAGTGGCTGAACAATTTACATTTTACAAGCAGGGGGTGTGAGCTGTCCTCACAATCCTCACAGGCATTTGAAACTGCTTCTCCTCCGTCCCTGTCCTCCCCCCACCCCATTCTATAGACTAGCTTCTTCTTGTTTCCTCTGTTATGCAGAACCGTTTAACCTCATCCAACCCATCTGCCAACTGTTGACATTACTGCCTGAACTCAGGGAGTCCTTTCAAGAAAACCTATGACTGTACCGCCCGCAGTGTTTGCCCTATGTTGTCCTCTCACAGATTTGGATCTTACGTTAAGACCTCTGACCTACTGTCAACTACCTTTGTACACTATGAGAGACAGCAATCTAGCTCCATCCCCGAGTCTCCCTAGAGTCATCCATCTGGCATAGATGCTGGTCTCCACTGATGTTTTGGCAGACATCTGTGTCACTACTCAGTAGCTATGACTGTGTAGCAGGTTTGCTTCTAGGTCTACCTACTGCAGGCCCTTGTGAACACCAAGGTCAGCACCAAGCTGCTAACACTTCCTACATTAACCTTTCCTACATTTTAAAGGTTGAATGTCAGTTCAAGAAATTCCCATGGAATTTGCTATTCATAATAAACTCATTAATGTTCCTAATGAATGACTGTTAATACTTTAGTGTGAAACTGAGAGAGAAATTGATTCATCTTTCTATGAAGAGCTTCCGGTCAGATGGCAGCCCATTTCCGATCTCTTTGCTACAGTACAGACACAGGGTAAGAAAGCTGCTGCCCTTTGTCTTTGTTTCTTCCTTCCTCCGTGAGCTCCCTGGGAAGCTCAATTCCCTTATCTAACAACAGACAGGACACACACCAAAGGCTTGCAAATATCTACCTACCCAGAGTTGGTCATCGTGTCCTGGAGGGCTCTTCTTAATGAAAGCACCATAGTATGTGGCAATATTTCTATGATGAGAATATTTCTTCAGCATATTTATCTCCAGTTTGATTTCTTCCTCTTCATCCTTAGAAAAAAAATAACAAAACATGTGGGTCTTGACCAACTTGGTTTCCTCCCATCCATGCCAGTGAAAGCGACAGAGTGCGCACTCTCTTCATCCACAGCTCACTCTTCTGAGTATGACCATAGGAGAAAGGAGATAACAAGTTTGATAATCAACAGGACTGATGGGCAGAGTCCCAGGTGCTCCTCACTACCTGTGACCTCAGGCTGTCTACTGACTTCTTTGAGTGGCAATTTGCTTACGTCAAACACCACCACATATAAAAAGATAATGTGACTGATACTATTTCAATTAATCATTTTTTAAAAAGCCATTTCTTCCTTAGGAAACATTTATGACTATATTTAAAACAAGAAAAGTTTTACAAGGTGTTGGACAGATGACAACACATGACTTTAGGGACAGTGTACAAGGTTCTGCTCAGGCGAGGCCAGCACTAAGGGGATAGGGGATGGGAGAGCCCATGTGATAAGATGAGAAGAGGAAGAGGAAGGAAATAGAAGGACATACAGGCATGAAACTTCATCCTTTGAATGACAAGGGCTGAGAAGCCGCAGCCTCTGTCTCTGCTATACACGAGGGGAAGAAACCACACCCACCAGCCTGGGCACTTTACTCTGCTGCCTGTTGCACACACTGACAAACTTCCTGTGAGAGGGCAGGTTAGAAAGATCTCCAAGTACCATCCGAATAAAGAAAAATCAGAATTGAAGTGAGGAAAAAAAAAGTGTATGTGTACATGGGCACACACACACACACACACACACACACGACTCAATCAGCCTTAGGGTAGGAAAACACAGTGTATGTTGTCAGCAAAAACTCCTGAACACATCTCTAGAATTCCGCATGCACTCACTTCACTTCTGCGAGCCCCTTGGACTTCTGTATGAACACACTCACTCCATATTGACATTTCTCCCTCTCCTCGGAGATTTGGGGTTTCTGAGTAATACACAGGTTTGTGCACATACTTGTACAAAACAGCATTTAACTTGGCCGATACAAAAAACTGCCTCCATCTGAATCTTTCCTCCAAAGGAACTTTATACTAAACGGAAAGGAGTGGTGACTAACAGAAACAGAAAGAAGCACGTTCCTAACAAAACTGAGAATATTCAACTTATAGAAAGGTTTTAATTGTGTCCTTCATCTGTACACACACACTTACATGTACAGGATAGTGTGGATCAATACAGGGAAGACAAGAGAAGGTGGTGAGTTTATTGGCAAGGACCAAAGGGGCCTGCTTACAAAGCCATCTAAAGCTGCTCCTGGAACACAGGCCCCAAAGAGCCAGATGTCCTCTGCCTTACACTCACCATAGCCAGACATGCAGAGATTGGAGTACTGGAAAAAGAGTATACAGCCAGGTGGAGTAGTGCCTGTCTTTAACCCAAGCACTAAGGAAGCAGAGACAAGGGGTATCTGAGTTTGAAGCCAGCTTGGTCTACACACAGAGTTTCCAGGCCAGTCAGGGATACGCAGTAAGATCATCTTTAAAAAGAATATACGGGGCTGAGGAGATAGTTCAGAAGAGCACTGGCTGCTGTTCTTGAAGTCCTGAGTTCAATTCCCAACAACCATAAGGTAGTTCACAACCATCTATAATAGGGTCTGATGCCCTCTTCTGGTGTGTCTGAAGAGAGCGACAGTGTACTCACACATGTAAAATAAAAATAAGTCTTGAAAAAAAAAAGAATACATAAACAAACCAAAAAGAATAATTTTAACAATGTAGGAAAAAGATCAAGTATTAACTGTCTTAAAGTTCAATCAGCCAAATCCCTGAGTTCAGTGCTGTATGAGCTGCCCAGATCTGGAAACATTTACCCCTGTGTCCCTCACTCCCCACTTCCTCCTACTCTCCATCTCATTCCATTAACCCAGGACCACTGTTCCATCCACAGATGGAGGGGTCTACTTCTTAGCAGAGTAAAGGTTGTAAGAGCCTCCGTGAGCAGCTCCCTGGGCAGCAATTAAGACCCCACAGTTGGCAGGCTGCAGTGTTCTCTTCCTCTAGGGACGAAGACATTCTTCTAAAATCCAGCTGTTTATCACTTTAAAAAGTCAAAGCTTCCAGAGGTACTTCCAATGGTCCCATAACCCACTGACTAAAAACCAAGTGTGTATTCTCAAGCTGTTAAACGCTTATGATCAGTGCTGACCGCTGGTCTGAAAACACTGAGTATGTACACTGAGAATTACCATTAGCAGATTTTCATGGCACCGTTTCTGGTAATTCTACATACCTCTGCTTGTGTTCTGTGACCACGCTGCACCATCACAAGACACACCGTAACACCTTTGAATCTGGGCTACAAAGTAGACGTGCAGGGGGCCTGTAATGGCAGGGTCTGGCAGCTGAGGCAGGAAGCCTATGCAAGCTTGTAGACTATACAATGGGGTTCATCTGGGTTACCTCTTAGAGACCGTGAAATACAAGACCTTAAGTACAATCAAATTCAACAGTAGCCTTTCCACATGACTGAAACATCTTCGAGATACAGTGATCACACGCACTTACTTGCCAAAATATACCCTAGACGTCTTCAGCAGTCAAGTCCTAAGGCATGAGAAACTCAACTGCAAAAAGTCCTGAGAGGAAATCTTGGTCTCCGTTCCAAAGTACTATTATATGGATGATGTAATGTAATAGATACTCTGAACATTACTTCTGCTGTTTTTATGATTCTAAAATAAAGGGCCACTACACATATAATAAAATAAAGAGACACTGAGCATCATTTACTGTCTAATTATGAAAGCCTACCCTTGGAGAGAAAGTATCAGAAATATAGAATTTGCCCAGGACCTTTGAGTCAATTACAACTAGAATCTTCTTCTTCTTTTTTTTTTTTTTGGTTTTTTGAGACAGGGTTTCTCTGTATAGCCCTGGCTGTCCTGGAACTCACTCTGTAGGCCAGGCTAGCCTCAAACTCAGAAATCCGCCTGCCTCTGCCTCCCAAGTGCTGGAATTAAAGGCGTGCAACACCACTGCCCGGCCTACAACTAGAATCTTATGACTAAGACTTAGTATACAGTATTTTACATTGTCTTTAGAATACAGTTATAATGATTTCCAAATTCTCTTTGATGATTAGTTTAAAGTTTAGGGGTTTGAGAGATGGCTCAGCAGTTAAAAGAAATGGACAGAAAACCCTAGTTCTATACCCAGCATCTGCAGGGAAGATCACAAACATCTGGAACTCTAGTTCCAGGGGATCCGATGCTCTCTTCTGGTTTCTGGGGACCAAGTATGCATGCAGTACACACATCACAAAGGCAAAGCACCCATCCATACACATAAAGATAAATACATAAATCTTTTTTCCAAAAAATAAGTTTCGGAGGCTCATTTCAACATTTAATAGATACACACATACCACCACCAAAGTAAACACCTCATTTAATTAGAAGATACAGCAGTGAGCAGACTTAGGGCTGAAATATAAACCAACAGTTGAACTGACAAGGTAACACAGAGGAAGCTTACATACCATCCCACGTGTCTACTTGCAAGTTCAAACTACTGTAACCTTCACACTCCACTTTAGGGGAGCCAGGGTGATCACAAATAAGGGGATCTGAAGGAGCAAAAGGGGTGTCCTCTGGTTTCCTCCAATGGTGAGGCAGCTGCTGACCCCAACTTTGGGAGTTACTGCAGCTGGTGCCAATTAGCATTCTGGCTTCTGATCAACAGGAACAACTCTCATAGGCAAGTTCTTTGTCTGGAGCTGGGTTCTGGCAGTGGACACGCCTTCAGTTGGCTCCCTGGCTATCGGAAGATTGGGGGCTTGGATAAGCCAACAGCTGCATAGCATTAATTTGCACAAGCAGCTATAGGCTGTAAATGAATCAAATGAAATACACTGCACACCGCAAGGTCTGAGCACACCACACAGAGGTGTACATCATTAGTTTGTTTGTTTGGTTTTTAATGTCCCCTTTGGTGTTCTGAAGTAAGCATGTTTGTTTTGCACCACCTTGAGTAGGCTAGGCAAGTGCTCTACCACTGAGCTAACATCTCCAGCCTTTCTGGGTTCCCTGAAACATGGCTTCAATCCCTTATAGTCTTATTCCACTGATGATAGTACTATCTAAGGGACAGACAGACCTCAGAGACAATAACCGGGACCGAAGAAGACTGAGAAATGTTCTGAGTCTATCATCTTTCCACCTGGTGTCTTTACAAGATTAATTATCGTCAGTGACAGATGAACAAATGGGGAGAGGGCACAACTGATGGTCACTGTGAAGCTGGAGAAAGGAGCTGCTGATGTGAGCCAATGTCTCTGGCAGAATTCTGCCCTGAGATCTACAATGAGAATGCTCCTGAAAGAGAATGCCTGCTTCTTCAGAACAGTTTAAGTCAGCTGCTACTGAGCTCTTCCTTATGGCTACAAACTGAAAGAAAACAAAATATTTCACCTTGCAGAGTCCAGGCAGATCCAAGAGTGTCTTACTCATTCATCACAATCCACAGTAAAGGTAGCACAAAATCAATTATGCTTAATCTAGTTTTGATTCAAACATAAAAGGTTACACAACTTCAATTCACCATTCAACAAAATGTAAATGAAGATAATTTTACAGATTCTAGAAGAGGATATATTTTAGAATAAATGGGATTTATTATGGGATTGGGCCACAAGAATGGTAGCCTTCTGGTACCATCAATGGTAGTAACATCCTCACCTAAATCACTCAGTGCTACAGGAAAAAACTGATCAAAACTGACAATGCCCAAGTGATGGAGAAAGAAAAGCGCTCGCTCCAACACACTGATGTTAAAGTCATGCTCTTTTGTATGTAATTGAATTAATGCCTTTCTTCTAGGAATGGCCACAGCCTCAAAGCTCTTCTCTGCCTAATGGCAGATCTAGTCAGAGCAGCCCTTAGAAGGCCTTCTTCCTCCTTCTCTAACCAAGTTTGTTCCTTGCTGAGTCATTCAGTCAGACCTTAGTGGTCACCTGGAAGCGTGGGGCAGACTTGAGCCA